GTGCTCAGAATCACCAGGCATGATACAAACATATAAGTTGCCCACTAGGCTTCACTCTAGTGGGCCCTTTCCTTCTTGCCCTTTCAGTCATAATCCACAATTGTGCGACAAAGTGCATGCTGCCTCCAATATCTAAGTGTAGAATGGTCTCTCTGTCTATTTGCAATCTCCCATCCAGAGTAGCTCAAACAGATTTCTATAACAGTAATTTTACAGGGCTGCAGTCAGCCCTTTCAGCTGTCTGTGAATGATCCTGGCAACTTCAGACTTGAAACTTATCCAGAGACCACTGGGCTTGGAAATCCAGCCAGGTTGACACATGTGCATTGTGTAGGCCTGAGAATCCCAGCTTCTCCCTCCTCTTTCCCGAATGCCTATGAATGTGTACAGGGCACCAGCTGCTTCCCTGTCCCTCCAAGACCTAAATCTGCAGTTTTGAATTCTGAATCCAGGTCCCTGGGTTCTTCAGGATGTGTCAGAGCAGCCTCCATGAAGGGATCTCTCCTCCAGTTTTTCTCTTTATGGTGTAACAGCCACGCATACAGAGCCAGGTTGATTCAGTCTAGAATGTGCACATAGACCTGGCCTCCACCTGGGATTCACAGCACAGGGCCAGTGTTTGGACTGAGTGAGTACAGAACACCCAAGGGAGACATTTTTCTGCACTGTGAGAAGTCAACATAGACTTTGTAAAGTTCCCTTTTAAAACTTGGGCCCAAACCCGCAACTAAAGGACACAGGAAGCATTGTAGGGGGGAAGGGCATGCCTCTAACCCTCACTTGGGTGAGGCAAAGACATAAATTTGTAACCATAATGTTTGTACCCTCATAATGCCCTGAAAAAAAAAAAAAAAAACTTGGGCCCTTTTCAGGTCTTGTCCAGAGAGCTGCTGCAGGTGTACGAAGTGTTCCTCATGTAAATAGAACGTAGTGGCAAAATCTGTAAGTGAAAACAAGCACCTCAGCAGTTGGAGGGCAGGGCCCCAAAAGATTCAGAGCCGTGACCACAGCTACAGCTACCTTTACACTTTTTACTAGAGTCGGGTGTTCTTTTCCTTCCTCGTATCCAAAAGTTAGCTGATCAGGGACAAGTAATACCACACCTGGGTTCAAAGTTTCCTGCTCTACCAGGGCAATTTTATTTTCTATCCTGGCCTGCAGACTCACCCTGAGTCTCTGATACTTCAGTCACCAAGGAGGCATCAACGCAGGCTCACTGGGAACCCTCTCGCCAGCAACTGGGAGTCTTGGGGACACTTGGGGATGTCCTGTTTATGCTGCGGTCAGGCTGACAATAGGATATAATCCTCCGTCTCAGAGAAAAAGGAATGGTCGTGAAGGGTTTGTTCTTCCCTTGTTGGTGCCATGATGGGATTTTTCACTTTGCCAGTACTTCAGTGAGGAACAAGGAGGAGGTCTTAAGACACAAACTGATAGATAAATCAATTCCTTCCATTTCATATGGCCATTAGCAAATCAAACGCAGCAGTCATGGTCCCTCCTGTCCAGGAACTTTCAACTTAGAGCAGATGGTTAAATAGTTGAATTGAGCATCAGGTAGTCAATACAGAGAAGGAAATTGTGCAGGGGACTT